CTTTTAGTTGCGGCCAAATATCAAAATTTCAGATTCTGAATATTGTCCAACTAATTGAGCCTAAATATGGCCCAGTACCACCTAAAGTTCAATTCAAAACCTTAATTAGGATCCGATATAACCATTAGCCATTCCTACATTATTATTATTATTATTATTATTATTATTATTATTATTATTATTTATTTTAGTCCAAATTAACTCTCAATTCTTTAATTTATCCTTAATTATTCAATTATCCTTAAGTTAAATATTTTTTATATTACAAAAATAGTTTAGTGGTTTTATTTATTTGTCATATTATTTTTTGTATTATATGATTAAGAGGCTTTGGTGACTTAGTGGTCAAAGTTATTTGGGCAAGCCAAGAGGCTATGGGTCTGGTTGTCGAAGCTCGTGCAGCAGTGAAAGAGATCAGGCCACCGAAGTCTCGGCAGGGGGTTTCGGTGACAATGACTGTAACTTTTATTAAAATAAATGAAGGGCATTTTAGATATTTCCCATCAAATGTAATTTTTATTTAGTCCCTGAGTCTTATAGTGAAGTTTCAAAATTTATTGGGCTTGCTTTGAAGATAAGTCCATTCAGGGGTCCTATACTAGGGTCTCCCAAAAAAGAAAGCAGGCAAGAAATGAGGTTGCATATTTACAGAAAATGAGGAAATATATTATATTTTCAAATAGAAGAATTAGAGTGAGTCACATGAAAAAATTCTTTCACATGCACAAAGAAAATGAAAGAAGAACGTACCAATTTTAAAGATTGTCTTGGTAAACATATTTAAATTTTTTTGAGATATCTATGTAGAAAGATGTAAAACGAAAGCTAAAAAAGTCACATATAATATAATTTCTAATTTCCATAACCATTCTGAATCAGTTCGTCTTTGTTTACTACCCCAAGGGTAATTTATTTGTATCAGTAAACATTGTATGGTTTTCTTGTACGAAAATATATTAGGGAGAATGTCATTCAAGACCCCATCAAGAGAGATAATGGCACTTTAGGCTTACATATAATTCTAAATTTATTTTTTATTATTTTTTTTTTGCAAGTCCATGCCTTATCATGTGAGTTTGATTTCATTGCTCATCAAGTGATAAACACCACCGTACTCATCACTTGATGAGCATGTAGACCATGCAAATTTTTAAAAATCTAGACAGTTTAGATTTTATAAAATTTATTTTTTAATTTTATTTTATATTTATTATAAAAAATATAAAATTTTAATAAATTTATTTTATTATCAATCTAGACAATACAGATTTAATATGGGTGATACAATTTAATATTAATTTTTTAAAAAAATTATGAATTGACTATTTAAATGTCAACTAGATACAAAATATATTTGAATGGTCAATTTATAAAATTTTTTTAAAAATATTAATATTAAATTAGATTATTTAAATTAAATCTATATTGTCTATATTGATAAAGTATATTTATTAAAATTTTATATTTTATAATTTAATAAATATATATTAAAATATAAAAACAAAATGAATAAATATGAACCATCTAAATTTAAAATTTAGATGGCTTATATTACTCATTAGGTGATGAGCTCGCACATGATGAGTATCAAAACCAAACTATCATCACAAAATTAGGCATATATGTATGACAGTTTTGATATGACGGTTACTTTACAACTAGGCATTCAAATATTAATAACAATATGGTTGAATTTTAACAAGTAATTTTAATTTCTTTCAGGTAATCATTTATTAAAAATTCCATCTTAGCTTAAAAATTAACTAGTAAAAGTTATATTGACAATAATATATTCTAATTTGACACAGGTCAATCTTTGATTGGATTATATCACATTTTTAAAACAAAATTTCAAGTTACTCTAAAAAATTAATAAGTAAAAATTTTGCAATTGACAATAACGTAAGCGGATTTTGAAAATTCATTCTCTGATTGTCACAGGTTACATTTTTAAAATAAAATTTCAAGTTACCCTGGAAAAAAAATAACAAGTTATATTTCTATGTACAATTAACAACGAGTGCAAATTTTCACAAACCAACATATGGATTTTGAATAAATTATGATGACTTGGAAAAAAAGTCACTTGTCAAAATTCCAACACTTTGTTATCAATAAATAAATACCTAGTTATAAATAAAAAAAAAACAATACAATGCACTCGTATCAAGGATATTTTGCATTTTTACATCAAAACATATTTTCACCGCCATCCTAAGGGTTTGCAAAAGAATTTTAGAATTGTATAGACCCAAACATCTATTTTGATCCTCATGGCAACGCTCAATGACATTCTCCCAAAATATTACTAGATATTTGTTTTTTTTTTAACTAAAAGAGATCGATATTTGTTTTCATTTGTAGTACTTTAGTTATTATTCATTTGGAAACATATTAATTAGTACTATTTACTCTTTAATAACGTTACTTGTTTTTCCATCTTATATTTTGCACAGGAACAAAAAAATTTTGGGAGAATAACAATTAAGTCTTAAAAGAAAAAATTAATGACAATTAAATCTCAACAATATTTTTTGAAAAATAATTTTAAATATCAATTCAAACTGTTGAAAATTTAAAAGTTTTAATCATAAATATGATATTTGAATTCTAAATATAATAATTAGTTTGCGATTTGGATTCTTATTTTTAACTGTTTGAATTGCTATTTATATTTTATTTTACAGAGAATTTTGATAGGGACTTAACTGTTATTGATTCTTTTTTTGGGACTTTATTGTTATTCTCCCAATTTTTTTTGAAGAAAATGTGATGAAAATTAAACTGTTCAACAAACGATTAAATAAATTAAGATTGTTTCATAAACTTGAGCTACAATATTTCAAACACCGAGATTAAATTATTTAACTTCACGATTTTCAAAAATTGTGATCAAATATATTATTTTTTATTATGAGAAATGGGAGAAGTATATCGATCGCATTGATTATGAACTTCTCTATTGTGACAAATAATATCATTTTATAAACTGTTAAATACACTGCGCAGGCTGCCTTTAAAACACAATTTTATATCACCATTTCTATATTATGCTGCAATCAGAACAGGAATGGTCGTGAGAAGATGGTATATTTTAATAGTATCGTTATTCTCTGTTTTCGTCAATATATTTAATTAATTCACTCATTCATTATCGTACGTGATCTCTCAGTCTCTGATTCATTTATATATACATACATACATATATATATATATATATATATATATATAGCTGCGCAAAACTTTGACCCTTCCATTTTCCACATGATTCCTAGATTCCAACATTTTGAAGTTTAAAGTATACTGTCGATCAAATTCAACATTGATCACCAACGGGCACGACCTTCTGTGTGAAAATTAATAGACAAATTAAAAGTCCACATGGTCATAGACGTCAAGTACACAGAGATCTAGAATTGATGACATCTGCACATGCACAGTTACACACACCTTCAAGTAGATTGATACTAACGCATCACAGCGAGACAAACCTAAAAAAAATCACTTGATCATCACTCAAAAAATTAGAAAAAATAATAATAAAATTTTTTTCAAATTACATAAATGATAATTTTATCTTTCGAAATACCATAATATCAATAAAGTCTTTAGGGATCTCTTTGTAATAATTTTTTACAAAAAAAATCATTTTATCCTTATTGACAAATTGTGATTTTTTATTCAATTCTTACATAATTTTTTTTAAAAAAAGCTGTGATTCTTTAAACAAAAGCTATGAATGAAGTTTGTTATTTTAAGAACTTATTTTTCAATTATAGAAATTACACTTGACAAGTTATGATTTCTTGTTCAACTATTGCAATTCATAAAATAAAATTTGTGATTGAGGTTTTTTTTTAATAATAAAAATTATATTTGAAAAGTTGTGATTTCTTACTCAATTTTTGTGATTTGCAAAATAAAAGTTGTCATTGAGTCATGTTATTTTCAATGAGCGTAAAATGATTTTTTTCTAAAAAAGTTATTGATAAAAAGGTCCTTAAGGACTGTATTGGTGTTATAATATTTTGAGGGATCAAATTATTATTTACACAATTCAAAGAAATGTTATTGTCATTTTTTCAAAAAAATTAGATATTTCCTTCAGTCATACATATATAGTGGGTAAAAGAGAAAATTAACCCATAAACTATAAATATATGAGTTTTTGGAACTCTATGCTCATTGTTTGTGTAATGTTTTCATTCAATTTTTGAAAACAATATAATATAGCCCCTACTGTTAACAAAAGTTAACGTTGATGGTTAATTAATTAGAAAATGATAGAAAAAGACCTTAAAAATTAAGAGAGAGAGGCCAATAAAATTTTTTAGGTCATTTTCTATAATTTTTTGAATCCTTGATTGTAATTTTTGTATCCTTTATTGTAATTGTTTGGTCTTTTTCTGTAAGTTTTGATATTATTTTCTGTTATTTTTTTATAAACTAATGATCAAAGTTAAATTTCGTTAATGGAAGGACAACATTATATTATTTTCAAAAATTAAAAGAAAATATTATATAAAAATGAGTTTAGAGTTTTAGATGCTCTTAAACTTATAGTTTAGGGATTAATTTTCTTTTTTTTATCCTTATATATATATAAGGTGTCTTGTTTTTTTTTTCTTGTCAAATATATAATAAGGTGTCTTTTGAAAGATAAAATGGGTCCAATTTAAAAGGTATTGTATCAAAGTATCAAAAATGACTTTTCTTTTTCATACCCCTAATATTTCAATACTAGCTACCTAATATCTCATGACTTGGACCTAGTTTCATGATCTCTTTCACACAGAACAACAATAACGGTATAATTCAAAGTACTTGAATGTGTTCTTGGACAAATAAATTCACGAAACAACTTTTATTAATTTACGTAAAAATATCTAAAACATCGTATAATTATAATAAGAACAGGAATGAGTATATAATATGTAAGATTTGAAACTACACTGTTACAGCTAAATTGGAATATTAATTACTTGCTTAATGTTCACTGCTTAGTGATCAAGAGGCTCAACTGTGAGAAGAAGTCCATGAGCAGGCCTGAGAGAGAGCATAATTGAAGGAGAATGATGATAACGTGGAGAAAGCTTAAACCTAAACCTAGAAAGAAGAAGAGTTAACACAATCTTATACTCCATGAAGGACAAGTTCCTTCCCACACACATTCTTCCCCCGAACCCAAAAGGTAAGTAACCCATCTTATGGCTACATCCTCCATTAACGTCGTCTTTGAACCGCTCCGGTCTGAACTCGTTCACGGTTTCTCCCCATAGTTCCGGGTCATGGTGCATCGCCACCACATCGATCCACATGTTGGTGCCATTAGGCACTGTCAATTTGTCGACTTTAATGTCTTCTCTGGCTTGCCTTTGAACGTTTGGCGCAGGTGGGTATAATCTGAGAACCTCATTCATCACCCACTTCATCTGTAAAGTAATATGAGTTCAACACAATCGCAAGTGTGAGAAAAGGATTGAATAGTATTGTGAATACGAAATAATATTCATAGCCAATGAAAATTCAGATCAACCTATCTAATTAAACCAGTAAAATATTAAATCAGTGTCTTCTGGTTCAATGACAGATTTGGTTTCAATACCTTTTATTTTATTTTATTTTTTTGGTCAGATATTTCTAACATGTTGTGTGTTGTGTGGCTGTTCTACTAACTACGTGTTTATATTTATCAGACACTTGGCTGCGTTGTCTTGGCTATAATATTGACAAGGAAAAAAGTCAGCACCACGTACACATGTGGATGTGGCAAATAAAGGCTTGAAAAGGGGCACCGCGTTTTCTATAATTTATTATTTTCATTCCAAAAAGAATTGGCACTTTGTGGCTGAAGCTGCGCACGGGCATGCTTTATGGCGTGGACTATTCAAGTTATTATTATTTTTTATTATTTTTGTTTTGTTTATTTCGTACCTTTCATAAATAATGGTCAACTATGACTTGAACCACACAAATATGAGCCCGTCCTTACACACGTATTGGGTAGAGGTATCAATATCAATACTGTAAACAAGTCATTATATAAATATATTACGTGGCAAAATATTCTGAAACAGCATGAGACGAGCTGAATTCCAGAGTATCAAACTCTTGTCAAAATTTAGTATATCATGCTATATCATTTTAAGAGGGAAAAATTATCTCAAATTTTAGAATAAGCTATTATTCATTATTTATAAATTATTCCTAACACATTTCATCAAAAAGAAGTCTTAAACTTCATTAATTCTGTATTAAAATTTAAAAAATTTTCACTTCTACTCCCTTATAAGATGAAAAAGAATTATTTTGAATAATTTTTTTTAGAATTTAATAAAGTAAAAAGGTAAAGATGAATATAAAAAAATAGTGAAATGTATTATAAATAGAACTAAAATTAATATTCTCTGTTTGTCTTATAAATAAATAGAACGAGATAAGTATTTTTGACATTTTTAAATATGGTGAAAAATGTTTGATTACCAAGCAAAGATATTTTAATTCCTAATTAAGTGGCCATTATTAAGTTAGAAACCATACGAGAAATTAATTAAAATCAAGTGAGAGCAATTAATCTCTCGTACCTTCCTTAAACCTGCGAGCAAATTGACATCATGAAGCTCGTTATCTCCCACGACTTCTTTGATCTCATCTCTAAGTTGATTTTGCCAATCTTCATGCGTAGCCAAAAGCATCAAAGTCCAGGTTACAGCAAGTGCAGTGGTCTCATGTCCACCAAAGAAGAAAGTCTTGCACTCATCAACAAGTTCTCTCATAGTCAATTTATTCCCTTGCACCAACAAATCCAACAAATCTTGTTGATTTTCCTGAGGTTGTCTCATCGTTTTCAACTGTTTCCGAGATTCTATGATCGACAACAAGAGATTATCAATCTCCTTCCCCAGTTTCTTGGCCTCTAGGGCTTTCTCAACGTTCAAGTAATTCCCAAAAGGCACACCCACGTATCGATTAGTCTTGAAGAGAGTCATTTGAAGAACTCTTAGTTTATCAAACACTTGCTTTGCCTTCTCATGATCTCTCATACCAAAGCTCGTTCTCGCTATGATTTCTCCAGCTGTGGCTATAACTTCTCTCTCTACGTCTATTTCAGAGTTTCCAGAGTTTATTTGGGAACACCATCTTTGTATCATTTGGTTTGTGGATTCCACCATCAAGCACGTCATTGCCTGGTTTTAAATATCACCAAAAAAAAAAAACTTATTATTAGCATGCTTACGCTTATGATTAGAAGAAAAATCAGATTATGAAATTATACAGACTTAGTGGTACAATATGTGCAAATCATAAATCTGCGCGCTGCCACTATATATATGCATTGTCGGCTGATGAAGGTAATAGCTTGCTTTTCAAATCCGTAATGATTGTGCGAATGTATTTTTGGGCAAGTTGTGGAAATGATTAAGAACCAATCAAATGGGTGAAAAATTGGAGAGGAAAAAAAACTAAGCATGGAAGGTCCTAAAATAAAAATGCGTTGCAGATCTGCAATCGAAATTCAAGAATCATCGATATTGCAGATTCTTGAAGATCTTTCGAAACTTGACTAAAAGTTTGAAATCTCTACATTAATGATCTTCGAGTGTCAGCTCTACTTTCTCCCAAAATTTTCACCGACTTGGTCTTTTCTGGTTTCCTACATCATCCTCACAATTGATAACTACAAAACTAATCCCTTAAACAATCTCAGAACCCGATTAAGGGGTTCAGTAAATGTTTTTGTAGACCGGTTTCGCAAGGAACAGATCTAGAAAGTACTTAAGACACACCAATTTATTACTAAAATGTCACCGCCTCTACTCTCTAAATAGGTCTAAAAAGACAGGTTTAGATAACTATTTTTCCACTAGTCCTCAACAATGCTCACTATACACACTTCCGGATGGAACCCAGCTGGAATAATGTTCAAGAGGCCCACTTAGTCCTTATATATGTACGATGAAAAGGCCACATGTTCTAGATCACTAAAGCTTGAGAGAGAGAGAGAGAGATGGAAAGGAGGAGAGAGAGAGAGACCTTCAGGTTGAGAGGAGAGAAGGCGGGGGCAATAATATGACGATGACGAACCCAGTCGTTGCCTTCGACCATAAGAAGGCCACTTCCAAACATGGCGTCTCTGTCATTTCTGAACACACTCGGCTTTCCCCATCTCTTCGCCAAAACCTCTGTCGACATTCGCTTCAAGAATTCTGGTTCTGCTATATACAAGAACGGCTCTGTCCCCAACCAGTACACGAACACCTTCCCTGCATTATCATCATTGTTCCAACACCAACCAACCAAACACACATTCATCATCAATTCCTTTCTCAATAACATTATTAATGTATATATATATATATAGTGGAACTGTTTGTGGAAGACTTACCGTGAGAATTCTGCCATCGAGAGAAGTAAGGGAAAACGTTGGAGTGTATATCATGGCTGGGTTTTGATGATGATGATGATGATGAGTACTGAAGAGTGATAGCACTTGTGGTGTTATTCTGGTTTTTCATCTCTTTAATGTTTCCGAATGGGAAACTTGGCGTTGGCCCTCCAAATCCACATCTCTTCAGCTTGAGATGTGTCAGGACCGGCTTCACCCACCATGAAAATGCAAGTTTCAGAGCTAAACTGATAAAGCTGAACAAAACAAGACCCACAATCAACCTAAATAACTCCATATCTCTCTCTCTCTCTCTGTGTATGTGTCTGGCTTTGGATTTGTACGTATCAGTACTTACGTACGAGGCTTATAAATTCTGAGTGAAGGTTGTGATGAACCAAGTTCTGGGGGGGAAGAGTATTTATAGAAGAAGAGAAGGGTCGGAGAATGCGTGGCCGTTGACTAAGCAAAAGGGTTTGAACATTTTGGATGGCGCGAATTTTTTATTTTTCCATAATTTTTCTTCGGTCATAGATTACGCGACTTGTGACCCACATGTTGGCTGTTCTGTTGCGCTTCATTTTTGTCTTTGTTGAATTTTGCTTCTATTTTCAAAACTCTTTAAATGAGGAAAAAAAAAAATAAATTTCACATATTTCCCATGAGTTTTTTTTTTTTAAGTATACAAAATTACAAGCCTCCAATTTTGATGAAAAATTTGTGTATGTTCTTTTTTTATTATTATTATTCCATCGCTTGGTATTCTTAAAATTTAGGGTATTAACTACCTTATCTTGCCTAAACTAATATGAAAATCCTGCTATGTGATATTATTATCATCAACAACAACATCATGGATACCTTAAGAACACCTTTAGCATATTTATTTAAGAAAAATTAATCATTTAATCTCTACAGTTTTAACTTAATTGTAATTTAATTCCTGAACTTTGACTCATTATAACTCTGTATTTATAGTTTTAACTAAGTTGTAACTCAATTTCTTGAATTTTGTCTCTTACAATTTAGTCCCTATAATTTCAACCACTTAAATATTGGTCATTATATTTTTAAAAATAAAATTATAAAGATTAAAAATATTTTAAACTTTTAAAAGGGTTTAACAATTTAAAATATTAGTAATAAATTTTAACATAATTTTAATTAAAATATAGGAAAAGATATTTAAATGGTTGAAACTATGGGAAATAAATTACAAGAGTAAAAGTTTAGAAATTGAATTACAAATAAAGTCAAAATTTCAAGAATTAAGTTATAACAAATTAAAATTTAAGAATTGAGTTATAATTATATCAAAACTACAAAGATAAAATGATTATTTTTCTCTTTATTTAATAAGACTGTGTTATGAGCACAAGCTCAAAGAAGGAGCATATCTCAAAAGAGTGAAAGGCTAACATGTTGGGCAAAGAGTCCTTGAACTCATAAAACCACCCACTTGTAAGCCCCATGATGTGGAACTCATTACAGATTGTATATACAAGAATTGAGAACTCAAGACTCCAAAATAAGTTAATTAAACTCTTTCAATCAGTTAAACCAAGTGTCACTTGGTAAAATTTGTGTATATTCTAATTATAGAAATGTCATGCAAGTGAAAATTAAGAAAATTTTTTCAATTTAATTTTTTATTTTAGAAGTTTCAAAAAAAATTAAAAAAATAAAAAGGCATACATAATTCTTATAAGATTCAAGAGGCATAAATATCAATACATATTATAGAAATACTACAAAAATTAAATACTATATATTATTATGTTGTATATCTCCTGCTCATTCTATAAATCTCTATATAATATAAATTTTTTTAAAAAATACATTATTTATTAATTATAAATAATGTGACTCATTTTTTAAAAATTTATAATACTCAAGGTTAAATCAGTGTGTTTAAAAATTTAGCGAGAATTATATTGAAGTCCCACCTAAGAAAATTAATTGTTGTAAGATTCATTGATAATTAAATTAAACTGCATTGACAACACAATTAATTATTAATGTATTTTAGTTCAATTATCAATGAACTTTGTAGTAATTAATTTTTTTGTGTGAGATCTGGTTGTAATTCTCTCAAAAATTTATATGCCCCCAATCATGCAATACTACAAAGATTAGGTTAGGTTAGGTTGAATCTAGTTTGTACTTCCTCCGTTTAAAAATATAAAGCATTTTTTGAAAAGTTAAATATTAAAAAATATAAGAAATTTTTAGTTTTTCAAGATGTAATCATTATTTTTTTCAAAAGTGCCCCTATTGATAGTAATTTTATATTTACTATAGAATGTTTAATATAAGTAAATATGAAAAAATAGAGTTAATATGAAAGTAGATAACTATTTTATTGAGGGTGAAATTCGGTTAAAAATGCTTTACATTTTTTAACGGAGGGAGTATTAGTTTTTTAAAAAAAATTAAAAATTAATATGTGTGTATATATATATATATATAAGTATAAAAATACATGATTGTAAGAAGAAAAAAGGAAAAATTATAACTTGATCTCATAAAAGAGAATTTACTATTAGAAAATCCTATAAAATTCATAAAATACTCTTAAATTCTAAATCATATGCATTTATAACTTGACAAACAACATTTACATTTGGGCAACAAGCATTTGCCCATTGTCCAATTGTAAATGCACAGAATTTGAAATTTAAGAATATTTTGTAAATTTTAGGGGATCTCTTAGTAATAAATTATTTTTTGTGAGACTTAGGTGTAATTTTTTCAAGAAAAAAAGGATTGCGTTTTTTTTAATAAAATATAGGAAAGATTTATATAATTTTTTTTAAGAAAACATAACTTTGAGTCTCTACATTTTGTTTTAAATTTTTTATAGATCCCTATATTTTTATTTTTCTCTATTCTAGGCCCCAATAGTACTGCTCATTGAGGAACTTAAAACATGAAAAAAAAAAAGGTGTAAGAACATAGAACATCAATAAAAGTGTAGGAATCTATAGCAAAATTCAAGTAAAATGTAGAGACCCAAATTTTTTTTTTAGGCCAAGGGAAGATTTATACTCCCTCTGTTTAAAAATATAAAATATTTTTAATTAAATTTCACACCAATAAAGTAGTGTACTTTCAAATTAATATTATCTTTTTATATTTACTCTTATTAAATATTTTATAATAAATATAAAGTCATTATCAATAAGGACACTTTAAAAAAATAATAATTATATTTTAAAAAATTAAAATTATTTTATATTTTTTAATATCTAATTCTTTAAATAATAGGGGGAGTATAATTGAGACTATTAAATTTTTTTTAACTTTTTAAATGGTCGGACTAAAATAACGGGGACGGCACCCTTTAAGTTGTCTTTTGTTGGGAATTGCGGCTGCACGTTAAAGGGGTGTGGAATCGACCGGGCCAAATACGCTATTATTTGTGCGTTTCGGGAACTTTTAATCTTGGTTTGACCAAAACAACGTCAAAGTAAATTGGATAATTAAACAAATTGATCCTAAATGCCTAAATTATAATTCCAAAAGTATCTAAAATTTTAAAATTATTTTTTTGTGTAATGTTTCTATCAATTTTTAAAAGCAATGCTAGCTCTTTCATTAACAAAAGTTAATTTTTAATATTAGTGGATTAGAAAACGATAGAAAAATATCTCAAAAATTATTAAAAAAATGTCCAATAATATTTTCTTAGCCTTTTTAAATATTGTTTATGGGTCTTTGTCTGAAATTTTTGGACCTTTTATTGTAAAGTTTTGGTTATTTTTGTAACTTTTGATATCCTTTTCTATCATTTTATAATTAATTAATGGTCAAAATTAATTTTTATTTATGGCAGAGGCCGAATTACAAAGTTTTTAAAAATTGATAAAAAAATTTTATACACAAAATAAATTTAGAATATCAGACATTTATAGATCTATAATTTAGGAGTCAATTTGTTGCTATCAAGTAAATTTATCTGGAAAATTGAAATTACCTTCCTCGGTCAACTCAAAAATTGTAATTTAAAAGCATATTATTTTTATATGAAAACCAAACAAATACTAATGTAATGTTTGGTAAGAAAAAAATATTTTAGAAGAAAAATGTTAAATACATTTACCTATATTTTTTTCTAAATACGCTTCTTATTTTTTTTAGAAATTATTTTTTTGGCCAACTTTTAGAAATTATTTTTATGTGTATCAAAAATATAGTAAATGCATAATCCGTCAAACATATGACATGAGGAACCTGTTATTCTCGCTTTGATCAAGAAAATTTTGGAAGATTTATTTTAGCATAAATTATAAAAACAAGAACAATCATGCATGTTGCATTAATTATACTCCTTTCAATTCAAAATATAAACAGTTTTTAAGCAAAAATTCTCATATCAATAAAGTTCTTATTCCCATAAAGTTATATACTCCATTGTTTTTTTCCTTTTACTCCTAATCTCAATTATTAATGCATTCCATCATGAGTAAAAGATACATTTATATAAATATTTAGCTTAATAAATATAAGCAGTAAAATAGAAAAAAAAATTTACATGTAAGTTAATAATTATAAGGGATTGATAAATATAAGGGGTGAATTTAACTTGATCCATCTTGGTAATAAATGGTGTGCCCATCACCTTTGAAGAGATTTGGAGTGTCCAGATTTAAAACTTTTAGTTTTAATTTCAATTTTACATTTATTAAAATAAAGTTCTAAAATTATAAATTTTTTAATAAATCTAATTATTACCAATCTAGATCATTCAGAGTGCCCATTAGGAGATTATCTTTATTTTTAACATTGTATTTATCAAAATAAAAATTTGTAAAAATTTAAAAATTAGGGTTAAGAAACAAGAACATCCATGAACTTTTTCTCAACACGCTTCTAATATTTTTAAGTTAATAATAGTGCATGGTAATGTTATCCATTAAACTTATAAAAAATATCAACTTTCTTCACTATGTTAAAATGGCTTGACAGTCAAATGTTTTCAATCCTTAAATTTAAGATAACATTAGGCCATGTTTTCAAAATATTCATCTTGTTAGTATAATTATTTTCAATCTTTTCATTACTCCATTCTGTTATATTTTTACTTTTTCAATTTTTTACTATATTAGTTGCAAATTTATAAATTGAAAAGATGGGTGTTAAAAATGTCAAAGATATATAGTTTTGAAATCTTCCACAATGCAACGATATATATATATATATATATATATATATATAGAAAAAACAAGTACTTCACTTAGAAATTGAGAAACGGCAT